TGATATTAAAGTTATGCATAAAATTTAAATAATTTAGACTAGTAAGTGATTGAGTAATAAATAAACAAATATACTTAATAGGTTGAGAACGAGATAAGTCAAATTGAGACCTCCATGAAATACAGAAAAAGAAAAAAGGAAAATATAGGCTTAAATGGATCAAAAATGTTTGGAGCCCAAGAGAGTATAATTTCTTGCACTCTATGTCCTCGTAATCAATTATATTTTTCTTTTGTGCAGGGGCTCCTTGACTTAAAATTTAGACAATTTATCAAAGGAAATTCATCAACTTAGTCTACTAACTGACATCAAATAGTCAATAAATATATATATCTGAATAATAACGTGTATAGCAAAATATTTAACATTGTGAAAACCCAATGTGCATAAAGAATATATGGCAATCGGAAAAAATATAATTTGCATCAAACCACAAGCTGGTAGCGAATACCCAAAAGCTTGATCAAGTCATTGTAATGTTTCTATAGTTCCATTTGTTATTATGTTTAGACGGTATTAATTAGGCAAAATGAGATTAGGCAAAGTGAGATTAATTGACAAGACTACAAAGCTTGGGCTTCCACCGAAGAGTTCCACGTGGGAGATACGCTCAGTAAGTTCCGCAAGATTACAACTTATAACAGTTCGTAATATGATCCATTAATTGTAGAGTTTAAGTTCCGCAATGTATTTATAATTTTTACATCATCAGGTTAAGTTGACAAACAACAATAGGAGACTTGGATTTCAAATTTGATATCGTAACTTGAAAAATAGAGTAATAACATTATATAATATGTTAAATTGAACTGATTGTATAAAAATTCTTTATGCATTCAATGTATTTAACTCAAATCCGTATTAATGGGTAAGAAAGCAGTTCAAGTTTAGGATGTTGATTGAACCAAATTTTTTGTGTTTAGGTCTTCAAATACAAGCAAGTATAGAGCAGATCAGGGTGCCTTCCAAAACTGCACATTTAGTTTTTTTACACCCTTAACTTCTGGAAATTATGTCATTTCTCTCACCACAACAGGCAAAAAATGGTACATTTGTGGAGTAGGGAAGCACTGTGCCAAAGGAATGAAACTGGCTATCAATGTTTTGCCTGAATTGGGATCTCCTGCTACTGCACCTCCTCCTAGTGGCCTTGCTTCATGAACTAAGGATTAGTTCGTGTTTTGGGTCGAGGGGACGGGTGATTTGAACCCTTACTTTTTCTCTCTAGTTTGTGCGATCTTGATTCGAGGGCGTATTTGTCTAAGTTTATGAAAGTTTCGAGTAGTGTGGGATATAAAGCAACAATTGATTGTTTCTTCTTTTTTTGTGTGTGTGTTTGTTCCTTGGATAATATTTATGCTGGTATTTTTTCTTTCTTTTACATAACCCCCCCCCCCCCCACGATTATTCTTTTTCTCACAATTCATAATTCCACTCTACTCGAA